AATTAGATATCAGCCTGAGAAGCATTCCCAACTTCCTTATTTTTATTAGAGAATTTCCTCAAAATGTTATCAAAGTGTAAGTATTGAGTTTAATCTCACTTATGTGAAAAGAATTCCTTCCACACAACTTCTGTCACATTTCACTTGTGGAAAAATAGTTAACTTTTACAGCTTTATTATGCAGTAAATCAAACAGAAAATATGCTTAACTGTAACTGACTTATTTCACATTTGAGTATTAAAGGTTTTTCAATCTTTCATTGGAACTTGCAACAGCATTTCCAGTTCCATACAGAATTTAAATATAAACAAGAACCAGAGAGCCCACAAGTTCCTCCTGCTAGACACTTGCAAAGCTGCACTTTTAAATATAAAACAAAGTGCATACTGATGAAAGAACATTAAGGACACTTGCCAGACTATACCTTATAGGTTACAGAGCAATTGTACCCAGAAAAGGCTTTTAAAATCCTGCTTCTACTACAACACATTCTGCTTCTAGTCACATCTGGTCTCAAAGTCTCATTCAGGGCAATTCTAGAGGTCAGAGTTTGAGATTTTTCAAAAATGAATGATTTTGAGAACATGCACTGCTTTAAAACAGAGATATTTTTAAAAAGTTTTGTTTGGTTGGTTTTTTTGGTGTTTTTTGTTTGTTTGTTTTGTGGGTTTTTTGTTTGTTTTTGGGGTTTTGTGTGTGTTCGGTTCAAAGAAAATCAGCTAATACTTCCAAAACAGAAAAAAAAGTTTGTTTGCACTAAGGAAACACCCGAACCTCCCACACTGGTGAGCTTGTACCTGCAAGTGCAATCTCCTGTTAATGCATTACGTGTTAAAGACAAAGTTACACACATGAGAGAATACCTTTTACTGGCATAGACTTTTCATCTCAAAACAGTGACTAAGGAAACAATTGTTCTTTAAACATGTGTCAAAACCACACTGCAGAGTTTGTTGGTGTAAGACATACACCTTTATTACTTTGATTTGTAGGCTTTGACATGTAATTGAAAAAGTTACAAAGTTACCCAGTGCACCAGGAAATACCTGGAAGCAGTGCTGGCTCATTTTCACAAATGGGACTGCTTCCTCATCAGGAGAGAAGTTTTGCTCTAATTACAGTAAGCTCTGTAATTAGCAAGACCTACTGTTAAATCCCACCTTCCTGAACAAGTGGAACTACTAAGAGATAACCTTACTGAAAAAAAGATGTGGTCCCTTTCTTATCTTTTTTTTAAGACAATGTTTGACAATTCCAATATTCATAAGCTCAGCATTTGAAAGAATGCAGGAGTTAATTTTGCTTTAAAAGAGACAGATGTGTTATCTTTTCCTGCAAGGATTCTCTCCTTTCCTTCCTGAAGGCATCACAATTTTCTCAGGCTTTACTTTGATATCAACACAGCTATTTAACTCCTATGCACCAAAACCCCACTGCAGAACATTGGTTTTAGGATTTAAATAGTTTTAATCCTGTTTTGCATTTGCACTGCTGTTTGTTAATTAGTATTTACATTAGTAAATGCAACTTTTACAGCAATGTCAGTACCTTCCGCTAATCATTGCCTAAATTCATGTAGATAAATTACAGCTTTTATATTCACACTAATACACTCACGAAGTACATTTTTACATACGCTTAATTACTTTGATGCAGTCATAGGTAGGAAAACAATTTCTACAGAAACTTGAATAAAATTAAACTGCAAAAAATGATTACTAGAATTTAACAAAACTACTTCAGATATGCTGGATAAATAAATAGGTGTTGCACTCAAAACTTAGGGAAGATGCACTACCCATAGGAAGGGCGCAGAAGCAATGACCTCCCTTTGCTATCTCCCACAAGAGTTCAGGGCCTCAAGATTTCCACCTCTCACACCTCATTTTTATTTATAGGCTGAAGCAAACAATCTTATGTTCTTCCACCTATTTAAAAGCTTCTGAACTTTCAGTGACCTACATGAATAAAGTGACTATGGAACAATGTATCTCACAAAAGCTGGTTTTAGCACTGGAAAATCCCTGATACTGAATGCAAAAACTTTCACTGGTAATAGCCCAACTTTGTATCTTTGGATGTATACAAATCTTAATGCCATAATTACTACAAATAGCTCTCAGGTTTGTTTTTTTTTTAAAGAGCTTTTTCAAATTTATCCTCATGCTGCCATCACTGAAAGATAAGCAAAGTTTCAAAAATCTCAAGCTAAAATGTGAATCTAAGGAACAAGACTGGGTTCTAAACCAGTTATGCAACCTTGCATACTGAAACCACCTTGTTTTTGGAAACTGGCTCTTCTCCTTCCTTGGTTTTAAAGCTTCCTTACCCAAAATGCAACCCTCTGTTTGCCACTATTCCAGTTCATGCCTTTTCTGTACTCTCAACTACACTAAACACTGCAAGTTTTAAACCTGAATTACGTTAGAGCTAAATACAGCCATCCCAAACTGACTACTAGATAGCAACAGGAAGGCATAGCTGCTATAAATGGAATTGCTTACTGCCTTTGCAACACTTAAATCTATTGACTAGACACGAAACAAGATGTGAATTGAAAACCTTTCCGAACTTATATCATTGCATCACTTGATCTCCTACTTATTTATTCTTTTACAGCAGTATTATTACTTTGAAAAGGAAAAAAAAAAGAAAGTTATTTGCTCACCTTCTTTCCTCCTTGAATTTCTGCAGGTTTAACCAGTGTCCCAGTTACGCTAAACTACCCACATCTGAAATTACCTACAAAACTATACCACCACCACCACCTCAATCAGCCTTCAATAATATCAGTTCCGTGGGATTTTCATGGGAGAAAAATATATGAAGGAACAATGTGATTTATCCCCTGTGAAAATGAAATGTAGGAATAGATGAAGACAAACATTATTTATAGTCCCAACCGGATGGGTGAGAAGGGAATGCTTTTCAAATGCTATCCACCTTTTTTTTGTTTTTAGCTCAGTATGTTTGAGACAACATTTTTAATGTAAAGTCATACCACAATTTAAATGTATCAAAATTAAAATCTTAGGGCATCAGAAGTTCTGCATAGATATTTGCCTGCTTTTCCAAGAGTTTGCAGTGCTACCCATCTTTGCTTTATTAGCCAATAAAATATACTGCCAGGCTTGCAAAATTCCACTCATATAGGACAACCGATTTTATATGGGACTGAAGCAAATAAAAGAATCAATTTAAATTTACAATGGAAGAGTGCTGATTCTATTCACTTATATGAAGCCAGGAAGTCTCTAAGAAGTCTGGGAGAAAAGAAAAACTGGAATTAATGGACAGAAGAAAGTTCAAAACTTCATTCTATCAGTCAGAAAAGCACAGGCAGAGCTTCCCAGATCATACAGAGCCAAGATATAGCTGTGATTCTACCTTTTACTATTTGACATGACAAATAAACCAGGCACAAAATGAAACACAGGAGGTGCCCTCTGTTCATCAGCAGACACTTTTATACTGCAAGGGTGACCAAGCACTGGCACAGATTGCCCAGGAATGTTGTGGAGTCTCCATCCCTGGAGATTTCCAAAAGCCATCTGCACATAGTCCTGGGCAGCCTGTTCTAGATGACCCTGCTTGTGGAAGAGACTTGGGCAAAATAAACTCCAGAAGTCCCTTCCACCCTCAACCATTCAGTGATGCCAAGATAACTGTAATCTAAGTCTTTTCATGTGTGCTATCCAGGAACAACACACTGGATTTGCATTGCTTGTATTTTCTATAAGGGCTAAGAATCATGGATTACCACATATACTTCTTGATTACCTGACTACTTACAGGTGTTGTATGAATGCGAGTTAAACAGAGGAGGACACAGTCTTAAAGCCTCTTGGAAAAAAGATAATGAGATCCTGGTGGTATGCATCTTGGCATATCAGTGCATCTCTAGCTCTGAAATAGGCTCCTGTTAACCTCAAACCTGCAGAAAATCTGCTTTATTGTAATCCCTGAGACATATGAGGCATTCTTCTAATTTCAAAGAAGTTTCAAACATCATTTATCAATGTCTCCTACATTTAAGTCATCTCACAGCTTCCACAGTGATGAAACCCTACATTTTTTAGTAAAAAATGAATAACACTGTGTGTTACATAAAGACATGACAGCACACTAGCACCATGTACACACACCACCACACCCTAGCTCCGAAACAAGCAGCTGTCATGGAGCTGGATCCAACAGGGGAAGACCAAAAAGCACTGATAACTGAGGTCTTACCAAACACCCTGCTCCTTGTGTGATTTTTCTGGAAAAGATCTGTCTTAGATTTAAGACGTTTCCAATTGGCATAAAAAGAGATTACACGCACATCTCATTAATTCTGATCCTCTGCTCCTTGACCTTACACCTCCCCAGTTACTGACTCTTAATAGGAAGTAAAACAGCCCACCTCATCCCCACGCATCCCCTCCCCTCCCCTAAACCTCCCGTATCCCACCTACTCCGGGACCCTGCGGGGTGAACCGCGAGACGATGGCCAGGGCCGGCCCTGCTCTGGGGCCAGGGCCGCGGCGCGGCGCCCCTCTAAGAGGACCGGGCTGGTGCTGTGGAGCGGCCGGCTCGCACGGGCACGGAGCCTCGGAAACGGGCAGTGGCTGTGGGGGGAAGCGGAGGGGAGAGTCCTTCCGCGCCGCTTCTCCCTCTCCCCACCGCCACACACCAGGCAGCATGCACTGGCCATCCGCGGCGGCAGCGGGGAGCCAGCAGAAAAGGGCCATCGTCTTCACCGGGCACCGGGCCCCGCCCCGCGTAGGGCCCGCACCGTACAAGGAGCGGCGAGAGATGCGCCCGGGCCAGCCCTCCCCCCTGCCTCCCCGCCGACCCTCTGCCCGCCCCCCCCTCACTGACAGGCCCGACGGCGCGGCGATGGTAAAAACACGAACCGCGGGGCGGGAGGCGGGCTGGCCCCACAGTCTCCCGGCTCAGCGGCCCGGGAGGACAGACGGGCAACCCGGCTTGGTGCAACATCCCCACCCAGCCCTACCTTCTCCTCGTCGGACAACTGCTCCTCCAGATCCGCCATCTTCCCGTCTGCCACCGCCCCCAGCTCCTCCTCACAGGCAGGAAGGGCGGGGCGCTCCTCACCACAAGCCGGGGAGGGGGCGCCTCTGCGCATGCGCAAGATGGAGCGGGGGTTGCGCTGTGAGGCGTGGGAGAGTGGTGGCGGGTGAGGGGCGGAGCCCCCGCGCCCGCGAGCTGGTGCTTGTGGCGGTGGTTGCCCGGTGGAAGAGGGGGTCCCAGCCGGTGGGTGGGTGTCGTGGGAGGAGCAGCGCGGCAGGGCCCGAAGCGCCCCTCAGGTCGCCTGCGGATGAACAGTGGGGGTTCCCATCTGTGTTTTAATAGCGAAGTCGGGCATTTAAGTAAGATCGCTGAAAGGTTGAGCAGACAGTTAAAACCGGCCCGCTCTCGCACACCCTTAGCCTCATGCTCAGCGCGGGTCAGTGCCGCACGGCTGGCGAGAGCACTCGGCGGTGTGATGGAAGAGACTCTGGAAAAGTCTGCTTTGGCACTAGCAAGGGAGACCAAGGAAACAGATTGCGTGAAATGATTTGTACTGTAGGAGGCTGGATATGGAAAAAGAACATGGTCCCTGCGAGGAAATGCAGAAATAGATTGGAAATTTCACAGAATCAGCGAGGTTGGAAAAGACGTTTGAGATCATAGTCCAGCCTTTATCACAGGACTGACAAGTCCACCACTAATCCATGTCACAGGGCCACATCCACACAGGTTTTGAACCCTTCCAAGGGTGATGATTCCACCACTTCCTGGGCAATCTGTTCCAATGCCTGAGCACCTTCTTGGTGAAGATACTTTTCCTGATATCCAATCTAAACCTCCCCTGGCATAGCTTGAGGCCATTACATCTTGCCCTATTACTTGTAAATTGGGAGAAGATACCAGCCCCCTCCTGGCTCCATCCTTTCAGGCAGCTACAGAGAGCAATAAGGTCCCCCTAAGCCTTCTCTTCTCCAGACTAAACAACCCCAGTTCCATCAGCCGTTCCTCATCAGTCTTGTGTTCCAGACCCTTCGGCAGCTTTGTTGCCCTTCTATGGACCTGCTCCAGCACCTCAATGCCTCTCTTGTAGTGAGGGGCCCAGAACTTGTTACCATAACAGTAAGAGAATGTGAAGAGCATCTTCTAGCCGTGTGACACTGCAGGTAGCAGAGGAACATTTGAGATGGTGGCTTGCAAGGATCACTGGAAGAAGATAAAATAGATGTCTGTGGGAAACTGTAAGAGGAGAGACGATATCTGTGTGGCTCAAACCATGTGGGTTTGAAGCCAGTGAAATTCTGTGTCCTCTCCTAGCAGTAATCTAGGAGCAGATGCTCAGGGAGTGGTGAGAGAACAAGGCTGTACATGTTGGCACTTCCTGGGAAAGCTCCTCCCTTCCAGCCAGCCATGACACATAAGATGGTCATCCTCCCCAGTGATTTCATCCTAACGTGGATTGTTGAACTGTTCTTCAAGGGTCAGGTAGACAGTAGGAAGTTTTGTTTTTGTCCAGGAGCTAAGTCAGACTGAGAAATTGGAAAACAGGAGAAGCTGCTTTGGTCTGGCAACAGTGATAGAGTCACAGTCTCTGCCGTGCTGCAGAGGGTGAAGAACTGAAGAGGTCTAAAAAGGAACTAGAAAGAAAAGTCAGATGACTTAATCCTTCCTGTTCCTTGGTGTCCTGGGTTCAGCAGTAGCAGTCATTTTTCTCCTTCTTAGTAGCTGGTGCAGTGCTGTGTTTTTGACTTTTGGCCTCGGAACAGCACTGATAACACCGATACTTTTAGTTTTTTGCTCAGTAATGTTTATGCTAACCGAGGACTTTCTAAGTCTCATGCTCTGCCAGGGAAGAGGGGAAGCCGGGAGGAAGCAGAGACAGGACACCTGACCCAAACTGACCAAAGAGGTATTCCATACCACAGCACGTCATGCCCAGGATAGAAACTGAGGGCAGTTACCCAGAAGGACTAGATCACTGCCAGGGTCAGGCTGGGTATTGGTCAGCGGGTGGTGAGAGGTTGTATTCTCTTCCCTTGTTATTTCCCTTGTCATTATTATTATTGGTGGTAGCAGCAGTACTTTGTGTTATACCTTAGTTACTCGATTGTTCTTATCTCAGTCCGTGGGAGCTGCATTCTTTCAATTCTCCTCCCCATCCCTCCGGAAGCTGAGAGGAGGAAGGGGGGGGGGGGGTGTGTGAGAAAGAGGCTGTGTGGGTGACTGAGTTTAAACCACAACACTTGGTCAAAAGCAGAACATTGGAAATACTGCCGTTAGCAAAGTAGAGTGGTGGATTTTGTGAAAACACTAGGATAAAGTATGAATAAAATTGGATGTCTGTAGGCTGCATCTCATTAAAATGAGTGCTGAATTTGTGGATGATACAAGAGCAAGAGCAGCTGAGAGAACAAAATAAATATCCTCATTCCATGTTCTAAAAAAGGATGATCCTAAAGCCTAATGAAGTAAACCCACATGTTACACTGTCTGTAAGGGTTACATCAATCTTACATCTTTAAGTTTACTTCATATTAATGTTAGGAAATGCAAATATGTATGACGACTTGGAGCTTGAGAAAGACTGTATGATTAGTATAGCAAAGCTAGTGGGTAGAGTCTTGTATGATGTTGAAATGATGGTTGGACCTTGTTCTTTTGGGATAGCAAAGGTGTATTATGCCAGAGCGGCCATGAGCTGCTTCAAAGTCAGAGAAGTTTCAGAAGAATAAGCAATTAATTATTTTTAAATTAAAGTTCTAATTCATTTAATGAAATATGGCCTGATCTTGTTGAAAAATAAGTTGAATTTCTTAGCAGTCTGTTCTAATGTGTGGAAAGAATAAAGTGTTTATTGTTACTTCAAACTGAAGGAAGTATGGTGGAGGAATTATAACTGATAATTCTTTGGTAACATTTAAAAAACACATTTTCTTCATGTCCAGCACAGTGTACTTTACCCCAGTTATGATGGACAAGGAAAAGCTGATCATTGACTAGAAAATCACTGGTGTCAAGATACATCAAAGTCGTTAGTGGTTACATACATATGTAGTGGTATAAATTTAGTCAGATTCTAGTCAAAGGATCTTATGCCTTAAGAGTTCATCTACATCTGTGTTTTAGCAGGAGTATTTGTACACAATGATTAATGCTGTCACATGCAGTGTAGCAAAATATCACTCATATCTGTAGAATTCTTTAAGGCTATCATTCTAGGTACCCTAACAGTACTGTTGAATGGAAATCAAGGGAAGTGATATAGCACAAGAAGTCATTACAGTCAAATGGATCCGTGGAAACTACGATGCCACTGAAAATCAATATATGAACAAAGGATGAAAAAAGTAAATCAAAATGAAAGTACAAGTTGGTCAGTAGGACCGATTCAGAGAAGTCCCATTGTCTACAAGTATTTAAAATAACTGTAGCCACAGAGAATAAAGATCATAGACAATAGCTTTTTCATACTGGGAATAAAATAAAGGACAACCAAACCTAATGTTTGATAGACCATTGCTAGATGCAAAATGGCAAAGTGTAGAGTAGAAAAGGTACATCTAAAGGACATTTGGCTTTGGAACATCACACATGTATTATTTGGGCTCGATAATAAAAGGTAATAGTCTGTAGCAGGGGAAAGCATTGCCTAACATTCAGTTTCACGCAACAGGACTTTATAGGTTCCACCCACGAATCTCAACAGTAGCTAGCTGAGGAGTTCTCTTAATTTTTAACACACTTTGGGATATACCAACTAGGGGTTGTTGCTGAGGATGTTGCTTTATTTAGTACGTAATAAGAGGATAGTTCAAAAAGGTAGATCTTAGCAGATAAACATGAATAATTTTCTTGTAAGTTAATATATCTATCTGTTGTTGGTATCGTGTTTACACCAGTTTTTTTCTGTAAGTTTGCTGAAATTAGAATGATTAAGTGAATGATTCAGAGGAAGACTGAGCAGTCATCGTAGATACTCCTGGGAACCTTCTGCGCAGTACACTGGCAGGTGCTTTACTATGACCTTAGGACTTACTGGGAAATGAATAATCCCACAGAAATAAGTATTGTTCTTGCCTTGTGACTCAGTGTTTTGGAGTGCTTGTGTGTCTTTTCAGGAAGAATATGAAAATTTCAGAGGAAATTTAAAGAAGGACTAGAAGTAATCCTGAAGATACAGAAGAAATTTCAGGATGTGATCTTAAGGATAAGATTAAGAAGGGATTTAGGAAATAAAGTGACACCTAAGTTAGTCTGGAATTTGTGTGCATCTTATCTGAAGTCATACATCATTATTTTCTGTTTTAAATTGAACGCATCCAGTTGTCAGCCAGTGAATATTCTTGTGCTATGAAATTCACCCACATTAGCAGTCCTTCTCATGTGCCAGTGTCTCTACATATTGATCGGAGGTTAATTTGCACTACAGTCTCATACAGGACAGCAAAACTTGCTGTTGCTAACTAGCTAGCTCATGTCTTAGTAGATGTCTAGTCCCGCTACATGAAGCTTATTGTAGGCTAGCACATCTGTCTGATGAGCAGTGTGTGGTTTACTGATGCAGTGAGAGAAAAATAATAATAATAATAATAAAGCAAGCAGCTATTGTGTTCTACTTAATCTCAGGCATGATAGAGGTACCAATCAAGTATCTCACTGTTTTGCTGCACTGCTGCAGTAATTTCTTTCTGTACTGACTCTGTAGGGCCAGACCTCTGGCCCTTGAGTAGCGCTGGGAGGAAGGGCACAGCAATCCCTCCTGCAGGGCTTTCAAAATAGCTTGAGAGAAGTGTTGTTTCTGTGCTAAAGCCATTGTGAAGACTGGTGAGGAGGCAGTGTGACATGAGGGTTAGCACAGTCCTCTGTCCTTCTGCACTGGCCCAAAGATTGAAATAAACAATACAGAAAAAAAAAGAATTTACATTTTAATTCTTATTTAAGACAGGTGATTGACATCTGACCTGTTGCAAATGGACAGGAGAACAAGTTTAAATGAGATGTATATTTGCTCAGAGAACAATTTGATGAGAGGTATATTTGGTGCCTACCTGTTTAATCTGGTGGATATACTATGTTC